AAAAAACCAAAAAAAAAAACAAAAAAAAAAATAATATAAAAATAAAATAAAATATAATAATAACTTACAAAGTTATGATATCCTTCACCATTAGTCATTATAGCAAGCAATAAATTGCCACGTGCCGATATTTCATTAGAATAAAGTTGATCACCAGCCCAATGAGCAAAACTATTTATACAGAAGGTAGCATGCCAAACCAAAATACGACAGAAAAGACCACCGTACAGGAAACCACCGAGAGCGTCACCCCAAGTAGCAGCGATACAGGTAGGAAGGAGTAAACCACTGGATAAAGCCAAAATTACATAATGTTTATGCTGGAATACGACGAGTGGATCGGCATTCAGGTCCGTGGCATCAACGAGTTTTAATCGTGGATAATATGGTTTTCTAAAAATCCAACCCATGTGGGAAAACCAGAAACCTTTAGCAGCAGAATAAGGATCGTGTTCTGTATCGGTGAATCTAATATGGAATAAATAATTAATTTTGTATTCTATCAAATACATATTTACAAGGGCAATAAATTCTTACCTGTGATGTAATCTGTGTCTAAGAACCCACCATTTTATTGAACCTTGGAAGGCAAGTGTACCCATCATTGCAAGAGCAGCGCGAAATGGTAGACGAGCAGTAAATGTTCTATGACTCCATAACCTATGGTAACCTACGGTTATGCTGTAATGAAATTTAAATTTTCATAAATGATAAACTCATTTAAAAACATATAATATAAAAAAAAAAAAAAAAAAAAAGGATAAAAACCCAAATGTTCCTAAATGAAAGAGGATTAAAGTTAACCATATCGTCTTCATAGTTGGTACATAAGTAAGAAGTGAAATTGCAGATATCAAATGGACGAGGATGACGAAAGCGCCATTTGCCCACCAAGCTTCTGTTTCTTTGGAACCTTCTTTTTTAACCAATTTAGGCTGTACATTTGAGGATGGACGTGTTTGTGTGGTGGACATTTGGGTAAGTTTTGTTTTTTGGATTTTATTTATTTATTGGTATCTTGATTTGATTTTAGAAAAGGGCTGTTTTTTTTGTGATATTAAATTTGTAGATTGGGAAGAAACTGATCTTTTTATATTCTGAAAACATGAATGACAAAATCCTATCTTTTCATGAGGCTAAATTCAAATAGATATCCGAAGATTCCAAACATGGAGAATTTTCAACGCGATCTGACGATCGTGACACGAGAGATTTTTTATTTCGACAAAGATGCAAAAAATTTAAATGTGTCATTGCCCCAAAACCCCAGATATATCAATAACTTAAATAAATTGATTATCTTTATGATACTTAGACTCGTAATAAATAATGTAAGAATTATTAAAACATATTGCAAATTTTATGAACCCAAAGTTTTACGAAAGGAGAAAGTTTTAAAACTTGACTTGTTGATGCCATGCTTGCGTGATTCTCTTGAAACCCTGTGGCGCAACCATACGTTCCCAAATTTAGATCAGTTCTTGACAGGTTTTTGGTATA